TTTGACAACGAGAGCATATTTTACCGAAAATTTTAAAATCAAATCAATCACTTCGTCATAAAAAAATATAAAAAATATTTCAAGCGGAGTTTTTCCAGAAAGCCTATTTTTTAGTTCCACGCATAATCTAAATTCATCCGATATAGATATGTGAGTGTACTCAATCTGAACTTTCTTCCATTTGACAGTAGAAGCAAGTCGGTCGTTTGCAGAAAGCAGACTTCTTCTTTTGAATTCCAAGGTTTCATCATCTGCTGAGTCCCGTTTAGGTTCAGTAGTTGATGAATTACAGGACTGTTGAAGGGCAGCTGTATCATTCGGTGTCTGTATCTCGAAAGTTGCAACTATATCAGTTGCTTCCCCAAAATCTTGTAGATTTTTGTTATCGTTCATATCTTCTTTGTCAGTCAAGGTATCCACGTCGGGTGCAATGTAGACCGCGTCAATATGTTCTGTAAATATTTTTTCACGTTATGTTTAGCATTAACTTAGGAAGAATTACGTAAGAATACGTAAATCCCAATAATGCTTACGACTTTCATTGTTATTGTCCTCATCCATCACGATCTCTTCCATAGCCGCCTCTAATTCTTTTTGAGTCAAATATCTCGGAAATGCCATATTTTACAAACTGTAGCGTTCACTGCACAAGGTACAAACTAATACTTAAAAAACACGCTAATTGTTTGATGTTTATTCTACATGCGCTGACTTGTCTAGACTTGCAATAACAGCGCTTTGTTTCACAGATAAAACCAGTCAAAAATAAAGCATAATCAATATAGTGTTTCCAATGTATCTTTTTTTGCTAGGTAATCTACATGCTATAGACAAAAATTTTGGATTTACTTGAAAACGTGATACAAATTTATGTACCGCTTTTGTTTATTTTTAAAGTCATATATAAGATCTTTCCTTTATACATAAATTAATAAATACAAACATAAACGAAATTACAAATGACCAGCACGAAAGTTAACAGATAAGAGACAAATAGCTGTCGAGTTTAATAAATATTATTGTGCACTAGGAGAGAAATATGCTAGAATGATTCAAAAACCAACTCAGTTACAAATGAGACTGAAGTAGAAAAAATAATAAAATCATTAAAACCAAAAAAAAATCCAGGCGATCAGAAACAACCAGAGAAATATCAAAAGAAATACCGTTTCCAGTGATTCTGCTTATAAACAGATGATAAACTTTTTTATAGCCGCTTGCTATAAAAGCACCAAATTTGTTACAAAAAAATAACTTTAATGTATGTGATAGTTTAGCTGAACAGATGGAGTATAGTGTTTTGTGTCTTTCTCCATATATTTAACTGCATAGAACATTTGTGGCGCAGAGCAAAATCAAATGTGATAGCGGAAAAGTGACTCCTACTTGGAGTACAGCACATTTTAAAAATTGAAGATTCTTAAATTTGCATACAAAATAATACAGATCCCAGAAATTATTCATAATAAGTGAACAGATTTAGATTTTGAATAAAAACGTTCTAATTTATTGATAAAAAATAAATAAATAAAAATAATATAATATTTAATCTACATATTTTTAAAACACCTTAAAAGTGAAGCGCCGCCGGCAAGTTATTTCGATTTTTCATGTTTTCTAATATGTGTGTATTTGACTTTTAAAATTCTTGGTTACTCTCATTAAATGACGGATCTAATTATTAGCTGCTAATTTAAAACATTATTGTCAAATATATTCAGTTATTGTTAAATCGCGTCATTCCGAGTGCGGCATTGAACTACAAAAATATTTATCAGTTGATGTGCGGGGCCCCACTTCAATCAGATTGGTTCCGTGCGGGCTTCGTATTTCTCGTCACAGATTCTTATCATCTGACAGTCGGAGAATAATAATTGTTACACACCATATATCATGTAATCAACTTTCCGGACACAGGTCACATAGAAAGGAGTTTAGGGATGACGGACGGCGTAACAAATGTGGGAGTGACAGGGTAGAAAGGCTGCGCCCGGTCAGCACTTCCTCCAGGGGTTGTACACGCTCCCTCACGGCATGTAAACTAGACCGTGCGACTACGGAGATATCCGCATACCCTTCAAAAAACTCCTTTCACCGAGTTCGGTGGAAAATGCAAATATTTGGGTTAAAATACAACTGAATAATAGGCTACAGTTTTCCCAGTGTATTTGGTTAGGTAATTGTTAAACATAATGAATAATTTGTTTTGTTTTCTTTGGGAAACAAATTTGAAGACTACAGTTTTAATTTTCTAAAATCGTTCGCATAACCAAATTTCTGTGAATACTTTTAAAGAAATTTTCGTTACAGGTTTGTTAAGATACAAGTTTTCAATAAATTATTAATTTCGGTTTGGGTAGTATTGACGTCACCTTTACAAAGACTGAGGTTACTTTGATAACTAAGGTCAAAAGTCAAGACGATATACTTTGAGGCGAAGTATACCATCCTCCTTTAAGACCTTGTACCAGTGACTTCCGATCTTTACTTAGAATTCAACCAAGAACGACCATCGAGACAAAGTCAATGAGCTTTTATCAAAAACATTTAAAAATAATAAAGTTTATTACAAACGCCACTATGCTTTTCAGCTACAAGACATTTTCTTCGCAAGGCATAATTATTTTGTCCATAATTGGATATTTTTACCAGTATGCCCGCTACAATATCCAAATTAAATGGTTTTTAATGTCCTGTTATAAAATGGTTGTCCTTTTTTTACACGGAGAACCCTTATCCGCGGGATGATCAGAAAATAACTCGGTAACAAGAAGAATGTTTGTCGACAATTATTCGAAATTTTCGGCGCTAATGACGCACTCTCCAGACATCAAATCATCTATACGTGGAGAAAAAAAAAAGAAAAAATTTCGGGCAACGGCCATGCATTTACACCATACTGTTTAGAATATCTGGCCGATCAAACAAGTTTAATCCGTAGAATGCGCCTGATTGTTTCGTTTTCTCACAGGTTCTCTTGCTGCGAGGAATGCCATATGTAGATGGGCGCAGCGGGGAACAATCCGTATGTCGCCCTGATGGAGTAGATGCCGCAGTTTGATTCGTGCGAAGGTTTCGGCCTCCACCGGTACTACTTTAATGCCGCTTATTTTGAATATTTAAAGAGGCGTGTTATTGTTCTTTTAAATTCACTAGCAGACGATTAAGTTGTCGATAAACAAATATGCCGAATAAAGTCGTTGCCTTTCGTTTTCATTTTAAAGTGTGAACAATAGATTAACACCGACAAAACGTGTTCACTCGATGGTGGCGCCGCCATGAGCAGTACGCCGAAGAATATTAATTTAATAATTGCATTAATTTAATTTAGTTTTTTGCAAAAAAATTTTTTAATGGATTTAAAGATGAATTACAGTTTTAATCCCAAAAAAGCAGTCGCCATATGTATAATTTAATTATAAACTTTGTGTAGAGTTTTTTTTTACAACTTTGATAATAAAAATCATAAATCTATCTGAAATTAGTAAAAATAATAATTATATAAAAATATGGGATCAATAGGGCATAGATAAAATAAAAAACAACAAAATAGGAAGGTAATATAATACAAACTTTCTGAGATTGAGATCCAAACAAATGAACGCATAAACAATATTTAAAAAATATGCCTATATCAAGTGCACTTTAAGGGATTTTGCAAATAAATTCCAATATTTTACTACCGGGCCAACATAATTAACACTAGAATTTTGGTTTTCCAAATTTTGAAATAACATTTCGTACTGAACTTGTGAAGGCGCTTTCCTTTCTATATTTACAAAAATTCCATTTTTTGTTGTAAACTGTATGTTTATTAATGTAAACCAACACCCACTAGTAAAACTTCCTTACTTTGCAGTATATATGTTATGGTGCATTGTTCCCAATAATATACATTAATTGCACTCATAAATATAACACAAAATGCGTTCGTTAATGTTCGAATTGGATACATTTTTTTTTTCGAAAATCTACAAAGGAAAAACTTGCAAAACGTTAAGGATTTTGAAAAATTCACACATATACACTCAAGGCCAGGCATGTGCAGTTTTTCCTTTGAGGATTTACGGAATTCCAAGTGAGGGGATGACTTGAACTAGAATTAGAGATACATAATTGCTGTGTATCCAATTTATCATACGACGTTGCTTTAGACCAAAGAGATGTTGGCCGTTTTATTCAAAGAAACTTCCTATTCTATTTCCTTTAACAAACGGATTAATTTTATGATAATAACATCGATTTATGGATTACTGCACTGAAAAAAAATTGTAAGGAAAAACACAATAATTGTAGTCATTCTCTACAAAAAGAAGTAGAAGTACGTACAATAACAATATATTTGATTTATTTAGACAAAAATGTGAAAATATACTCTTAATAATTGTATTGCTGAGATTCGCAAATTGCCAAAAACTTGCCAACAATTTCTATCAAGCACACTTTATAATTGGTGTAAAATGTTTTATTACGAAACTAAAGATAGAGTTTCTATTATATTATGAGTACTGCTTTTAATGTGTGTAAACACTACTTACCATTGCGAGAAAGAAAACATCCTAATTTGTGTACCCATATTCTCTATTTTCTAGGGTCAATTATAACATATTTTCAGACGATACTTAACTATAAAATCATCTACATGTTCTGGGACTCCCCATTTGCATAGCATCTCCTGCACATCTTTCAATAACGATATATAAACAGCAGAAACAGCATTCACGTGAACCTAAAACGTTGGCCAAGAAAATGCTAAAATTATGGGTATTAGCTTTACAATATTCCTAACCAAAAATAATTGTGAAACTAGGTTCAATAATGACCAGTTACAATTTATATATTCAGTTTCCACAAAGATTAATTCTGTTTCTAGTAAAATAGTAAGAACAGCTTTTTTGACATCCACTGTAGGATTAGCTTGTATAGTTTGCAGTACATTTTTTTATTAAAAAGAATAATAATACCATAAAGCTACCAGGAATGAATTTTACAATGTATAGATATCACATGTAAAATAATACAAGTATACGCCCCGACAACAGAACATGAAGATGAGGAAGTAGAAGAATTCTACGAGGAAATCAATCAGGTTTTGAATAACAACACGGCTCACTATGTTCTTATGATGGGTGACTTCAATGCAAAAATTGGAATAAGATCAGACCCACAAGAAAAAGGAGTAGGAGCATTCGGATCGGGAACACGTAATGAAAGAGGAAAACTTCTACTGAATTACGTTAAAGAAAACAACCTCCATATCATGAACACCTACTTTAAGAAGAAAGAAAGCCGGCGGTGGACTTGGAAAAGCCCAAACGGATTAATCAAAAACGAAATAGACTTCTTAATAAGTAACAACAAAAACATAGTACTAGATACAAGTGTAGTAAACTCCGTTAAAATGGGAAGTGACCACCGTATGGTCAGATCTAAGATATACTTCGATACAAAAATAGAACGATACAAATTGATCTCAAAGGGACCCAAAGGTATCAACACAGAGGAACTCAGAGTAAAACAGGAGCAATACCAACGTCAACTAGAAAATTGTATCGATCGAAATATGCTACACACCCAGTCTATTAATATGCTAAACAACGAGATCTCAAAGCAAATCCAAGAAATAGCACATAACGTGGCAGGAAATAAGAAAAAGAAAAAACTTCAGCTTTGCCAACAAACTCTGGATCTAATCAAAAAACGCAAGACGATAAACCAAGATATTACATTGAATCATATAGAAGTCACGGAACTAAACAAGACAATAAGAAAGAAAATCCGACTCGAAACAAGGAATTATAAGAACCAGCAAGTTAGACAGACGCTAGAGGAGAGAAAAAGTTTGAAAGTACTGCAAAGGGAATTTAAGAACAGGACCCACATCACAAAGCTTGTAAATGAGAACAACATCGAATGTACCAGGATGGAAGAATTAAAAGAATTAACTGAGGCATTTTATCGATCGCTATACGAAAGCAAAGCCAAACCACCACTAGAAACATCTTCTAAAGAACGACAGAAGGTAATGAATGTAGGCTCAGAAGAAATCCCAGACATAACAAGTGAGGAAATTGAGAGAACCATGTCCAAAATGCCAAAAGGAAGAACAGCGGGAGGGGATGGTATAGTATTGGAAATGCTGATCTATGGAGGAGAAATAGTTCTGGACATTTTAAAAATATTATACAATAAATGCCTGCTGGAGTGCGACGTCCCCGCAGACTGGAAGAACGCCCTAGTAGTTTTGCTCTTCAAAAAAGGCGATAAAACTAAATTAAGCAATTACAGACCAATCAGCCTGTTGTCTGTCATGTATAAAGTATTTATAAAAATAATAACAGAAAGATTGACCAACAAACTTGACAGTTACCAGCCTAAAGAGCAAGCCGGATTTAGAAGAGGTTTCAGCACACTAGATCATCTGCAAGTAGTAAGAACAGTTATAGAAAAGACAAATGAATACAATATCCCAATCTGGGTCGCTTTTATTGACTATGAAAAAGCTTTTGACTCTGTAGAGATATGGGCTGTATTGAAGGCATTAAGCAACAGCAGAGTCGACTATCGATGCACAACCTTAATCCAAAATATATATAGCAACGCAACCCTCCAAGTTATGTTGAAAGATTTCACAGATAAGATTGATATAGGCAGAGGAGTTAGACAAGGAGAGTCCATCTCACCGAAGCTGTTCACGCTTGCGTTGGAGGATATGTTCAAGAATATCGGATGGGAAACTAAGGGCATTAAAATAAATGGAGAATACTTAAGTCACCTACGGTTTGCTGACGATATTGTTCTCTTCGCGGATAATCAACAAGATTTGCAAGACATGCTATTGGAACTAGATCAAAACTCTAAAAAGATAGGCCTCAAGATGAATATAGGAAAAACCAAATAACGAACGATAATATCACACAAGAAACGAGAATCGAAATAGATAACAAAAAAATAGAACACACAGAATCCTATGTTTATCTAGGTCAGAAAATAGAAGTTTCAAAAAACAACTTAAAAGCAGAACTACCGCGAAGGATATCGTTGGCATGGACAGCCTTTGGAAGACTCAGAGAGGTTTTTTGTTCAGGCCTCCCAAACACCCTCAAAGCGCAAATCTTCGATCAATATGTACTTCCAACACTAACATACGGTACAGAAACATGGGCAATTAATAAAGAAATCATTTGCAAGCTACAAACAACACAACGAGCTATGGAAAGGAGGATGATAGGTGTAACCCTCCGGGACCGAATAAACAATAATATAATCCGGGAAAGATCAAAAGTGACAGATGTCATAGAGAGATTATGTAGACTGCGATGGAGCTGGGCAGGACATATAGCCAGGAGCAAAGATGATCGTTGGACACGCAGAGTGATGGAGTGGAGACCATGGAGCAGTAAGAGGAGCAGAGGACGCCCCCAGACTAGGTGGACAGATGATATAAAGAGACTGGTGGGAGACAATTGGATGTGGCATGCGCAGGATAGAAAGGAGTGGCAATGCTTAGGGGAGGCGTACGTCCGACGATGGATGGATAGCTGAGGATGATGAGATATCAAATAACTAATTTCATGTTAAAAAATGTTACATTGCTTGCAACATTATTCCTTATTTGAATCTACATTTTTGTGAAAGATGTTTTAAAGGTGACGTCGCATTGCATTGACATTATGCAACTGTTATACAGTGTGTTTCAAAGAAAAAAAACGATGAAAAGTGTATGAAAGTTTTACTGTTACCAAAACACACTTGTACACATCCACTACAATTTCTTTTTTTCGACATGCAAGAGACCCAAGAAAAAAAGTTTCTAAATAACCCTGCCTTCCCACCAAAACTTAAAAGAACTGAAAAATATTAGAAAAAGAAATAATTAAATTAAATTATCAATCATTAACTAAATTAACTTTTGTTTGTGAAATTATCTTGGTTAGTTCTTCTTCAGAACTTAAGCTAAGCATAGACAAAAATTTTTCACAATCGTCTTTTAAAATTTCACTCCGAGTAATGATCAATATGACCACCTATTGTAAAGCGAAATAAATTAATTTCTGGTTGAGTATAACTGGTTGCCTACTCCGATTATGGAAAGACTGATTTATCTATCTTTTTTAACTCAAATTAGATGTATAAAAATTAAAGTCGTTTTTCTGTTTGACAAAAAAAATACATTAACCATAATAAAATTTAAATGTTGATATATATATATATATATATATATATATATATATATATATATATATATATATATATATATATATATATATATATATATATATATATATATATAATATATATATATATATATATATATATATATATATATATATATATATATATGTATATATATATATATATATTCTCACGTATTGATTCACGGATGGAAAAATGTGATGACACTATACTCCGGGATATCATCCGTGCTCGTTGAACTCCGACTGGAATCCTGCATCCGACTGGAATCCTGCAAATCCTGCATCCGACTGGAATCCTGCAGACGTTTCGCCAAAATCTCACTTGGCATCTTCAATGCTCGCGCTCCGAAAACACTTCGAACACTCACTCACTGAGTGTTCGAAGTGTTTTCGGAGCGCGAGCATTGAAGATGCCAAGTGAGATTTTGGCGAAACGTCTGCAGGATTCCAGTCGGATGCAGGATTTGCAGGATTCCAGTCGGATGCAGGATTCCAGTCGGAGTTCAACGAGCGAACGGATGATATCCCGGAGTATAGTGTCATCATATATATATATATATATATATATATATATATATATATATATATATATATATATATATATATATATATATATATATATATATATATATATATATATATATATATATATATATATATATATATATATATAGATATATAGATAGGGAGGAACCCAAAATTATACGCTTTTGTCATGTTTCTCAAACATACTCTTGTTGCGACGTACTAATATAAGCAGAAAATGTTTAAAAGAATAAAATAACATAAAATCTTCTTGCGTGATACAACTAACTGTTGACTATCGTTTATAGTTACAGTTATCCTTAATTCCATAAAATAATGTTGAGTTAAGCTGACAGCGGAAATCTTCCACTTGCTTGCGATTCCCAAGATTAACGCAAATTTTTAAAGGTAACATACCGCACCGATTTTACTTCCTTCATAATCCCATAGGACGAAAACCATTAAAGTTTTAAAAGCACGATCCGAAAACGCAGTCTATTAGAATGAGTTTAATGTTAATTTATGTGAAACCTCTGGCTAGAGGTTCACATAATAACACACGGGTATGGAAATCTGATTGAGGCAATTAATTTCGCCTGAAAGTCGCAACGGATTTTTCGTTCTGTCAGAGACTTTTGAAGAATTTGCATTGAAATGAAGTTAATGAGCATGAGTTTGTACGTATATACGTATTCGAGAAAGTAGTGTCGCGAAGTTGGATTTATTGCTCGGCCATAAATTCCCTTTTGTTACAATACAGTCGATGAATTTATACTTTGCATTTGGCCGATATTTTAGGGTCACATATACATACAGAGTTATCTCTAAATTTATGTGTTATAAAAAAAGTTGAATACAAAAGTTGTTTCCAGTGAAATGATGATTTTTTTTCTATTATTTCAATTGTTACTCAATTACATAGAGAGTAAACAAATAAAGTTGCGTTGCATATTCACTTTTAAAACATTTTTCTGCGTAATATATTTTATAAAATTTTATAATTTTTTTTTTATAAAATGACACTTTTTTCACACAATATTCAAAATTGAAAATTTCGCTTCTCTAATTTTTTTGAAACCAAACACCCTGTTTATATTTTGCATTTTCGGATAGCCCTTTAAAAGACGAAAAAATTGATCAATATTGGTCTGCGATGCACCGTTCTGAAATTATTGACTATTTTTATCAATTCCGAGGCAATAATATTAAAGCAATTAACCATAATTCTGAAAGAGTCTCTAATTTTCTTTTTATAAAATTGCTGTATCGATAATCATTTATTTAAAATGCTCTAAGCATTTGACAAACCCGTTCAAAAATATTATTAATAATTTTATATTAAATTTTTACATGAATAATGCAAGTGGTATATATTAACTCCAAACGATTTATAACATTTAAAATATAATTGGTCGAATTTAAATGGTTATTTACTTCCCGAATTTGTTGTTGCACTGCAAAAACTTCTGTGGGCTTATTTTTGTATACAATCTCATTTAAAGTGCCCCACAAAAAAGGTTTACATCTGGGCTCCTTGTTGGCCAGATGGTGTCATTTTGCTCAATCCATGGTCTAAAATTTCCATTTAAACATTCACTGATATCAGCACTTTGATGATAAGGATCTTGTTCCCAAATTAAATTTGGATGTTTTATTGCAGGAATGGTATTCCACATCAGAGGCTCAATATTATTTTTTAATAAACCTAAAAATCGCACAGATGTCAACTTATCTTCATAAAATATTGGTTCAAAATTTCATCTCTTCAAATACCGCACCACATTTTAACCGATCTTCTACGTTGTTTATTTTCAGTGCTATAGTTGATTAAATTAAAATTATTTAAATTAAATTAAAGCGATTAAAGGAAATAATATTTATTTATTTTGTAATAAAGAATTTTTATGTTTAACGGCATTTGAAATAACTAGCAATTTCATTAAAAAAATATTGGAAACACTACTAGAATTAAGCCAGAAATGTATTTAATTGCGTTAATATTGCGTGGGAATTGATAAAAATCGTTAATAGAAGCACTATACGAAAATGCAAAAATATACAGGGTGTTTGATTTACAAAAAATTGAAAGAAGGAACATTTTGCGAAACATCGTAATACCGCGTAGTTGATAAAAATATTTTAATTTTAAATATTAACTGAAAAAAATTATTATTTTATAAAATATGTTACACAGAAAAATGTTTTAACATGCAACAACGTAACAAAAACCTTTCCAAAATAACCTGAATCCCGAAGATATATTTTTTATATATATCGTGAGATTAGGGTATTTAAAAATGTAATAAAATATAGGGTGTTGCATTTAGAAAAATGTAACTTCATTTGACCACCCTGTATGTGATTTAATGACAGTTTAAATAATAAAAAAATATAAGATCATTTTACTAGAACAAACTTTAAACTTTTTTTATGACACTTATAGATTTCGAGATACGATATAGGTCCCTCTAAAACCGACCACCCTGGACACTGCAATTGCTTGTTCACCGCTCTTTTTAGTGAGTTAATAATTGCTGTAGGATTATCGAAATTTTTGCTAAAAAAAAATATGTACAGGGGTGATTCATTGTATAGAGGGGGGAACATTTATACATACAAATATATTATCTATATAATTTTTATGTAACAATTCGCAGTCCTATTTTACTTTCCTTTTTGTAATTTGTTTGATATGCAATAATAATTTTTTTATCAATAATGAATAATAACATGGAAAAGTTTTTATGTATTTTTGAACAATAATGAACAATAATAATATTCAAGTTATGCCACATCTGTCATAATTAAACACAAGAAGTGCCGGTGTATGTCTAGGTGAAGATTTTATTTTTTGCAAATTGGAGCCCTAATGGAAAAAATTACTATAATATGTTATATATTTTTGATAATAAAGTAAAAGTACCTTTTTTATGAAATTAATAAAAAAAAGTAATTTTGATGTATTATGCCTTTTTGTTGCATATTTTATCAAGTATGTAATATTTACATTAAACATTATATATAATTAAACATTTAATGAAAATTAAAAAATGTAAAATAAAAGACTTAGAGGGGACTGACATTTATAATCGATCACGAGTTGCATATAATATTGTGATGGTACAAGACATGTATATTAAGAAAATGTGAATGCTTAAAAGAATAAATTTAATGGTAT